AAATATTTTTTGTACTTCTACATTTGTGTTAAATTAGAAAGAAATCGGAGTGTAACTTTTCGATAAGTTTACTTGTTAGAAGTGTAATGTTTCTAGCCTGCGATTCTAAGCAGGAAACCCCCTATATAGTTGTGGCTATATTTTTTCTGGTCTTTGAAACCATAGAAGTATACCGATTGAAAAAAGTGAGTTCCCGTATTGTTTCGATTCTAGACAGAGAAGCCATGTTTGGGGCAAAAATGGGAAATACCAATTGAAGTATCGTAGTGGGATAACCAACTTGAGAACAAATTTGGACATTCTAATTGAAGTTTTTGCTATATCTGGAGAAATTTTTGAAAAAACTTAAAAGTATACATACGATTCTACGTAAAAACACCATAGTTTCCCATTATGTAATCACAATAAGCGTCACACGACCAGTTTATGTGATGCCACAATGTGCGTTTACACCAAAAATGGCTACAATAAGTCGATATAGTTTTCATGTCTCGACTATCGGTGTGAAAAAGAAAGAGAAAAGGATGACTTGGGATTACAGATTGGCTTTACACGCTTGATGATCAAACCGTCAATCAGATCGGGTCAGTCAATTGATGTGTTGGCGTATTTAGGGGATTTTATGAAAAGCACACGATCGCGTGACTCGCGTTGACGTTGTCATTATGCTCTTCGCTGAGGTGCTTTGTGTTAGACCACCTGTTCTAGACTCTCCTCACCGATGCTTTCCTCTGTGATCGAGTGCTCCTCCACTTATCAGGATTAGTGTCTATTACGGATCAGACGTTGCCGGTGGAGAAACTCTCGCGTCCTTCTCGCGGAAACGGGACTTCTAGTGCCGTTACGTGATCGCGCGAGACGAACTTGTCTTGTCCGGGTTCCTTCGAAGGATTCGCAAGAGAAAGAGGGAGCGAGGAAGATAGGGGGAGGCAGATAGATAGACAGAGAGAGAATCGTATCGATCGCGGACGATACCTCAGCTTCGCTTCGCGAAAAGACGGACAACGTTAACGTCGTTACGCGACAGATTCGCGAGCGCGGAATTTCCAACGGAGGCAAATTCACTCGGAGATTCGTGTGCGCTGTCGCGCGCAAATTTCCTCGGCGAATCGTCACCCCGGTATTCTCCCCCGGTATTACCCCGCTTCCACCCACGCGAAACGAATTTTTACACGCGCACGAGCGCAGCGCGCGCTACACAGCGCTACACAAGAGAAAGAGAGAGACAGAAAGAGAAAGGCAGAATCGAGTTTCCACCCGAGCGAAAGTTATTCGACACCGTTGGCGAGGAGGTAGGTAGGTAGCTAGGCAGATAGAGAATGAGGGCGAAATATACACATACACGCACAGAGACGAGACGAAAGAGAAAGAAAAAGGGTGCGAGAGGCAGCCGGGGGAACGGGAGAAACCTTTTGCAGTAACGCAGACAGGTCCCTCTTTTTTCCAGCCGCCCACGCCGTCCGACATTCAATTTCCATGTTCTCGCACGCGCTCACGTACCTTTATACGCACGCGCGCACACATATTCTCACCAGCGTGTCCACCATGATCCTTCCTCTCTTCCTCTCTCTCTCTCTCTCTCTCTCTCTCTCTCTCTCTCTCTCTCTCTCACTCTATGATCCGCTACCAGATACATATAATACGACCTGTGTATAAATATACGTTCCTGCAGATATATACGACGTATCAGCGGTAATTCGAACGTGCCCGACTGAGCATACACGCGACCAAGTCGCGATAAACCGAGTGCGCTCGTCGTATGTGCTGCGTACGGAGACACGCGCGCGCGTCGCTATCGAACCGCATAACGCTCGCTCTTGATAAGCCTGTGAACGCTTGCAAGTGCACACACATACACACGCATACAAACACAGGTGCACATACAAAACACACGCATACAGACCGCATACGAACCGCATACAGACTGCGTACAAACCGCACACGTGCGTACAAATCACATATACTCATACAAACCATATATACACATAAAAACCGCACACACGCATACAAAACATGCACGCATATAAAACACATACGCACGTGCAAAACGGAACATCCGTACACGCACGTCTACCTGGCGCGCTTTGCTTTCTCGCATGCGTTCACGTAGCTACGCGTCGCCTGCGACGCGTTGCGTGTCGAGGGGGGCATGAGGCGATTCACCGCGAGTAATTAGGTGATGTGTTTATCGCACATCAGTTAGCCGCCGGCACGACGTGACGGACTAACTAGCGATAATCGATTATCACCCTCGGATCGAATTTTTCACAGTTCGTCGACGTCGCGTTGCCAACCACCGCGTACGTGCGTGCGTATTTGCGTGCGTGCGTGAGCTTATTCGCGAGTGAACGAGTGAGCGATCGCGCACCAACGCCGCTGATGCTCATCCTTTGTCCGCCTCAAAGAACGCATCCGAGTGTTCGCTGATTCGATAGGATTCGATAGCGAGACCTTCTTAGATTTCAGAGTGAGCGAGCCGAATTTTCTCCGCGACATTTTTGAGAACAGAAAAACTTTCACTAGATTTTTAACGCGTCTGTGTGGGAGGGACTCGGGCGGATCGCGCGATCGGACGCGTTCCAGGTGGCAACGCTCGAGAGCTGGAATCACTCGGACGGAAGCGATGGTCCCACCTGCTCGATCGATTTGCGATTGCGCTCGCACACGAGGAGAAATTCCAGTGGAACTGGTATTTATCGCGAACCGGGAAGAAGCAGCTTTCGCACGTTCTCTGCGCGATACATCGTCTAATTTCGCGACTGGAACGACTCGAAATACGTCGAATACGTTCTCAGGAGTCTTATTCTGAAGACATGGGGAAAACTCTACAGTAAAAATTACTAGAGAATTTTGTAACCGAGGAATAGATCGACATTCTGCAGTAATTCTATCCCTTTATTTCGTAAGTGCTATTTATGTTTTAGAAACTGATTTGTGCTATCAAATGTCTTCAGCGAAATTAATACATATATTCCTTAACAAGATAAACGACAGTCTACTATTACCAGAAAAAATATGGTAAAATTTAAGAGAATTTATACAAAAAATTTGTACCAAAAAATATGTTATAATAAGGTAAAATACCCAACTGACATTTCCCTTAGTCATTGTAGAAAAGCTTGTTTTAATCAACTAGCATTGCAACTAAGTACCTTGCCTACACTCTATGATCCCAAGAGACATCTCTAAAACTGTAAACGAAAACTGTGAACAGATTCCGTTGGGCCAAGATTTTTAGAATCGATTACTAAGGGGGATGCCAATGATTGGGTGTTGCACCCTATACGCGATCATAAATCAACCCCAACTCTGGATGTTCGAACAAATGCGATCGCGAGAATCAGAGTTTCTGTAAAGATTTCAAGATCCCAAAAGCTAATCGTCTTCGCGGAATCCACGTATCAATTGTCCCGTTGGAAATCAGCGTAGCGTTACGAAAATCGAAGTCGTAACGTTATACTCGTAACAAGAGCGAAAGAGAGGGAGTTTCCGAGCGCGAATTGTTCCCTTTGATCGACAATGTCGATTGTACGGCGAATGGATAAGCAATCTACGACTGTACGCGGTCGAATATGACCCGAGCGTTTTTCAACGAGAGAACGAGCCCTCGGAAGCGAAATTCCGCGGATATAACCACCCCCTCGCAACCGGCACTGCTGCTCAAGGCGGAACGTGGTGATCGATAACTTGAAGATCATGGCTTCTCTGGGTCACGTTGATCTGCACTGATAGAACTACTTTAGAAAAACTCCAGTCGGAGAAAGAGCCTCTCTCTCTCTCTCGCTCTTTCCCTTTCGTTCTCTCTGCTTCTTTTGCCCTTTCCCGGTTACGACCGCTTAAAAAGTGGAGAGAAGCTGAACGCCTGGTCGGGACGAAATGCGTATTACTTGGAAAGTGTATGTCGTTTCGCAGCCAAGACGAAACTTCAGTCGGAAAATTGCGGTAAGTAATTCTAGAAATCGATCGGTCTGAAGGAGACGGATGGAGAAAAGGGGAAAAAGCACGAGAAGCAGGAGTGGGTGATAGTGGAGGAGAAGGAGAAGCTGGAGGTGGTGGGGCTCTGGCCCATGGTGACCTTTAATATCGCGTTTGGCGAATGCCGCGGAAGGGTCTCGTAAAAGGGGCGTTATTATGCAAATTAATGGGAAACATCGTCTAAGTGGCTAATAAAGCCTGCGTCTTTTTAACGCGTGTACACTCGCCGGGGCACGGAATACCCTTGATAATATTCTAATATCCCGTGACACGAGCTCCGTCTTTAATATATACGTTTTAGTATATCACCGGGCTCTTTCGCGAGCCGGTACCCTCAAACGGGTTGCCAACAAGGGAGAGGAAGAGAGTGGGAGAGGCTCGAGGGTCTGTCCGGTGCCTTGGCGCGCACAAAGCGATCGCAACGGGCAGCTTTGAGGCTTCCAAGCGAAGCTCGCGGCCGATATTAAGCGCACGAGGTGTTCCGTCCAGTTGATATTAACCTTTTGAGCGCTGTGGACGTACGTCCGGCAAATGTCATCAGCGCGGAACGCATATATGCGTCTGACGAATTTCTTCGACATACTCCTGGAGAAGTGGCACCTCGTATATGCGAAAGTCCCTACGAGAAACAAGGCGACTGTTTCGGAAATTCATCTTACTCTGACTTAATATTCCCTGTGTGTGTTCTTCAGTTTCCTTAAGTTCCCAACAAAGATAAAATGCTTTCTAACAAATCGAACAAAACTCTAAATTCGTGAAGTAAAAAAGCCGAATGTGACCATTTCTGTAAATACAAGGTTTCACTTCTTAATTATTGTTATACTTTCGGCACGAGCAACAAGTTATCACAATTGTTGCAAATGACACTCATGTCCTTTTACGTTTTTTACGGTAATAAATATCTAAGGCTATTATCATCATTATAGCAGAATTTAATTAATAAAAAAAATTTTTTCTCGCCATAATTCATAGTAAGCATTTCTCTGTGTGATCGCAGTTACAAACACCAAACATTTTCTTTTCAGTGTCTTACGAACCCGCCGAATAAGCGCCAAGCGTCAAACCGTCATCGTGCTGAGACGCGCTCCAAGCACCAAATGGAAGGGACCAACAATACCGATGGTAACCGGCGTTACCTTGATTTTCGTGCGATCGGCCGACAATGGGCCTCATTGAAAATTTGTTATTCCGCCGGTGTATGAAAATTCAGCTGCAGCGCGAAGGGAGCGCGAATGCCCGGCAGCGAAGGTACTTTCAACGTCTCGTATTGTTTAAGTAGAAAGTTTCGTCCCGCCTGAATACTCGCCATGATTAAAGAGAGCTGCCTCGCGTCGGTGCTCCTCGTGATGAAACTCACCGTTTCCAGGACGGACATTGTTCTGGAACTCGCGCTCTCGCGACGGACGCGAATCGACTGTTAAATCGTTGCGTTTGCGCCCGCACGCGGACTGGAGCGAACGATGGCGGCGGCGGCGACGGCGGCGATGGCGACAATGCGCGCGGAAAAATACTTACAATTAGTCTGCGCGTTTGTGCGCGCGCGCAGCGGACATGCGAGATGGGCCCGTTTGCAGAAGCGCGGTAACCCAGTTTGGTGTTTTAATATTTCTACGTCTCGTCAGATAGCGCGTCCGCCGTATTGTCACAATGGCGGCCATCGCGCGCCGAACAATGCGATTGTGCCTTGACAATAACACGCGTTAAAAGATGATGCACGCGCGTTTAATGGACCGATGAAGTTACAAGGACGCTCGATGGAATTACCGACGGGCGTGCCGCCGTTATAACGTCCCGCGGAATCGCGCGAGCCGCTTTTAGCGAATCGGTGTGTATTGCGCACACCGCCATAAGTCGTACTTCGCCCGCGGCCGGATGTGACGCGCGGAACGACGCGCGATTCGCGGGCAGAGCTGCCACATGTGGGACCGAGTACGCGTAACTATAGTGCGTGCGGCGCAGCGCACACAAGCGAAGAACTGTGTACGTGTGGGCTGCCTATTACGAACTATAGCGCTTGGCGCTTCGGCCAGGCTCGGGCGGTGGAAGAGTGCAGACGTACAAGCCGTAGCTAATACTGTAAAAAAACATTACATTTAATGTAACAATTAGTTAAATAGTAAAAGTACGCACACCTGAGAAGCAACACGCGAGCGTCGAGATATAATTAAAAGGCCTAGGCATGATTCTCGCCGCTTGCAGTATTAGCTATAGCTATAGGTTGGGAGAGAGACGGCAGCTTGTACGTCTGCACTCTTCCATCGCCCGAGCCTGCCCGAAGCGCCAAGCGCTATAGTTCGTGACAGGCAGCCCACACGTACACAGTTCTTCGCTTGTGTGCGCTGCGCCGCACGCACTATAGTTAGGTGTACTCAGTCCCACATATGGTAGCTCTGCTCGCGGGCGAAATGAATTTGGGCGATCGCGCCCGTTCTGTTGTTTTTACGCGCGATATGCGATTCCTCGGCGCTCGAGAGCGGACAAGCCGGATAATAAAGCCGGACTCCATTCGAGCCGTAAAAGTTTTATGTAAGACCAGTTTGGGGCGGGAGAAAAAACAGAATTTTCGGTGCGACGCGCGCACGCGAGCGTGTCTCGCGTGAGGAATGAGCGACTTTGATTCCTCTTTCTCGCCGTCCAACATCGCGTGCATATCGCGAAGAATAACCAAGTACACAGATCCGCATAGTAACCTTAACATTTGCCACGTCGAGAAAAGATCTAAAGGAACTGCTTCAACTCAATCCACTTTGCAGCAAGAGCAACTGTGACTCGGGGTTGCGCGAATCTTATTGTATAAACTGCAGTCCAGTGAAAATTAAAGAGAGACTCGGTCAGATCAATAATTTGATGTACAAGGAGGGAATTTGATTGCAAATATCGTTATGACAATTTGTAATCATAAAATAAGTCGATATTTTGCACATTGAGAAAAATTGTTCGAAATTTAACAAATGAATATTTCCGATCAAAATACCGATGAATTTTTGTATCCGATCAAGAAATATCCGATGAGAAAATCGGTTCATAATTTTTTTATCGGTTTATCCAATAAAATGTCATTATAATCAGAAATATCCGATTAAATTTAATTGGATATAAAAATTGATCGGAAATATCCGTTTAATTTTTTATCGGATAATTTCTCTCGGTGTACATTTTCTTAAAATCTTAACTAATCATGAGGACAATTTGCTTATTCTATTTAAATTAAAGAATTTAGATGTAAGTATTAATTATACATAATAAAATGTGCAAAATATATTATATATTAAAGTATGTTAATAGTGGCCCACGGAAATTTTTTGTTTTTTGTATATTTTTCTTGTCTGTAGAAACGTAGTAAAAAAATTAACATTTATTGCATAAAGATGTTGTAATTGGTAATTATTGTATAAAATGTTTGTATAAAAAAAAAACTATAATATTCTCTTCGTGCAGAAATTTTGTGATACAATAATGCTAACAACTTCATAATGATAATACTATCTTGTTATTAATATAACTGTACTTTACTCAATTTGAGTTGTAAAATTCAGTCAATGTTAGAAGACGAACGGACTCGAGACACGCGATGCACGAGCCTTACCGCATTAATACCGCGCTGGGGTGGGAGGAAAAAAGGAAACGCGTGTTCACGAGAACTTTCCACGGAAACTCCTCTTTTCGAGCAGCTCCCCGCGCGAGATCTACCCCTCCTATATCTGGGAAGCTCGCTCGACTACTTGGAGCCGTGTACGTGAGACTTTTCCAGCCACGGATCTCCTGCTGAGATCGAGCGGCTGGATGCGTTTTTAATGACGTGCCACGTCGATCCACTTGAGAGAACCGGGGAAACTTACGGAGCTGGCCGCTGTTCCGGCCGACACAATTAATCGATACTTCCTGAGGGCAAACAGCCGCACGTCTCCGCGTCCACTGGCCTCCGCGACCGTGCTATTTTCGTCGCGTAAAACGGTTATAAAGAACACTTTTTCGCGGCGACAGGTACATATCGCGAAACTGGAATGTTTCGTCGCGACAGGCAGCAAGTGTATGTGTGTGTGTGCGCGCGTGTGCGGTTAGGTTTCCCGCGGTAATTTCCACGATCGCGCAATATACCATAATTGGAAGTGGCGTATTTGCTTTTGCGCCGCGCGCGAATTCCTATAATATCGCGCGCGGAAGACTCGCGGGGGTATCACATAGGCGAAGGGAGCAGGACGCGCGGGGGCAGGGTGGGGGCAGGTGGAGCATAAATCGTTCGGGGCCGCAGTTTTCCACGTCCCGCGGCTCATTTCAGCGCGACTACGTTTTACGAGCCTTCGACGAATGCGATCGGAACATTTCGGCCGGAGTTATTCCACGGAGACGTTGCCGCCGTCGCCGCTTCATCGACGCGTGGTCTCCGACCCGCAATTGGTGTTTTTTCTTTTTGCTTTAACGTGTTATTACCGGTCGCGGGAAAGCGATAGGCCGGCTGCTGCAAGAAGCACCTCCCTCGTCGACCAGGTTAATGACACCGTCGTGTACGATACACACACACAAACACACAGATACACGAACGAGTTTCGTTATCTGCCGGCGAGGGGCGGCGGCAGAGAAGGCAGAAAAATAGCGGGGCATTGTGTCGCGGCAACATAATTTATGTACACCCTGTCGCGACGCCACGATAATGAAAGAGTCGCGATGCGAGTTAATTAAGTCGGCGAAACCGGAAAAAGGGACGCCGGAGTCGATTAGAGTTGGATCTAACTTCATCCGCTTCGCTCGAGCGGCCTCCTCTCCTCCCTTTCTTTTTAATTTTTTTTTTGCAAACGGGAGAGAGAAAGAGACGACGCATGGAAACTTTTTGATTTATATACCGCGCGGCGCGTTTGTCCGTATTTCTCCAGAAAGTTTTTCTTTCATAATGCAAAGGATACACTACAGCTTAAGTGCCGTTTCGAATGGTCGGCCCGCGAGCCGCTTCGCTTTCTCCACATTTCCTCGCCAGTTCCCCGTTAAATTTTAAGTTACATTTCTCTCGCTCTCCCCCCCCCCCCC